CAAATAGTCGGCCATTTCTAACCAGACTCCTTTTGCTATTTGGCAAAGGTGTGAAGGCCAAATTTTTGGCACCTAAAAACCAGTTAGGTCTTTGTCGGCCTTCCATGGGCTGTCCATATCACAATCACAATTTTTCCATAATGTATGTATGGTAACATGTGTTTCCGAGACATGCTGATGAGCCCTATGCAAGCTGACATTTGGCAAAACAGTCATTTTCGTACTTCCATCTTAAACAATGAAGTTCATTTTAATTATAACTACAAGGAAATTAATAATTCGTCAATAAAGGTCAAGATTACAGCATACAATTTCTTTTAACATAGCATGATAAGGTAACAAAAGTACATTATATATGTTACTTATTTCCTCATTTTTCCATTTTAGTTCTTTCCTTAGAGATTTCTCTTTGCTGCTTTTTGCTGAATCTTAAACTTGCTTATGTAGAAGCTATGAGAAGCTACATACTCTCAAATAAAGTATTATTATGTTTTCCAGACAAAGTTTTTTTGTTTGTTTTGAAGTTTCCTGACCACAGTTCTGTATTATATTTTCCCAGAGCGATTTTAGCAATGGTGAGTCAAGAGCGTCATTGCATAATTTGTCAGACGGAATACTCATCACACAAATTATACTAAATGATTTTTGAAAAATGATACTAAATGATCTTGTATGGAAATCATATAGGCTAATCATATTGATAAATTTCTTGCAAATATATTTCATTTTTGGTCGCATTTTTTCAAGATTTTGTAAATTTCAAAGGCTTTCTCATAAAGAAAGGGCGAAAGAAAGGGCTAAAAGAGGGGAGCCGACGTTAACGAAGGTAAGTTTGTTTTAAACATTGATTTTATATTGGCTACATAATTGTTGGTTTTCTCATTTCAATAGGAATAGGTTTTCACATTTATCTTGTTTTTCTTGCGAAAAAATCGCCGATAAATTGGCAGTTTATGATTATACAAGGAATTGTTTGATATACACTTGCCATGATTGAAGTCATTTCACTGTCCCAGAAACCATCTTCCGTTATCTTGGTCTTTACTTTATCCACAATAAAGGATATATCTTCTTTTGTAAGTGAAGGAATGCATGTTATCGTGTCCTTTCCTGCTTGTGTTGCCATGTTTAGATGTTGCAAGGAAAAGACTTTCCGCCGGATATTTCACACAGAGCTTCTGCAATCTTTTCTTCCATAGTTTTATCGTCTCCTGAGATCACAGATAAGACGGCATCAAAGTTAAACGGTAAAATATCTTCATAGCTTTCATCATTCTGAACAAGCGCTAAATCCTCATTCGTCTTCTAATTCTTCTGGAATAGACACAATTACCTCCAAATCGTCGTCCATAATTCTAACTTTGTTATATTTAAGTTTCAGAAAAAACTTTACATTTAAGCACAGTTATTTCGCGACGAAACATGAGAAAAACGACAACTGTAATATAATCTCCTATTGTTTTGATACAGGCCATGCACTAAACTCTGTCACGTGACATTATTCCCTTTGTGCCTCAACATATTTTAACGCCGGCGCCGAATCCCTTTGAAGTTTGCCGGCTAGCCAAACCATCTTATTTTATTAACTGTTGTATATAATATAGAAATTAAGGTCGTGGTGCACGGTAGCGGAGCAATCGGAGACACATTTTCCGAAAGGCAGCAGGTGTCAAACGCGCTAAACTGGTTAAATGTATACTGGTACATATGGCTAATGCACGATTGCAGAAGAATCTTGTGCGAAACAACGAGCAAACTACGTCATTTGTTTTGTGCGAGTGCACGCATGACGTAATTACGTCAGATCGTCAACATTTTATCTTGACTCACTCTATGACATAATAAAATAACGCATATATTGCAGATAACATAAATTATAATATAGTCATTCACCGTATATGAGCTGTTCTGCAATCTGATTGGTTAAATTACTCGCCGTATGTTTAACAATTATACCATGAGCTCGAGTCGTATATGAGCTGATAGCCGACGAGGTGCGTAGCACCGAGTTGGCTATCAGCCATATACGACGAGAGCGAATGGTATAATTGCTTTATAATATAGTCTATGTCCCAAGAATGGCAACGTTGTTGACGAAACCTTTCAGACTACAAATTATTCAGCCCCTTTGTCTCGCATGACGTATTTCTTTGTTTTGCAAGCGCATCGTCGAGCTGGCGCGTCGTGAATCGTAAACTTTCTATTGTTTACAGCTGTTGATGCCTACGGATTCTTTAAATTTGTGAATTATTTGGTTGAGCTGCTATAACGATAATAGGCAGCCGACAGTGTAGAGGTGTTACAAAAAACCTCAAAACTATTGAACTATAAAGTTATTGTTAGAATTTGAATGCCCTAGCACAACACTAAACGCAAAGGCATATATTAAATATTGATTTATTAAGAAATTAAAATATCTTTGTAAAGTTCACGATTTTCTGCTCTTCGGAATTTAAAGTAACCTGGGAATTTAAACAGTTTCTTTATGCATAAAATTTATTATGTCAAGCTTTTAGCCTTTTATGCACTTGTTATTATTGTTGATATTAAATTAAATTTACATTGCGCCAGTTCCATAATTATGTATATGCTCATTTGCGCATTACAAGATAGTCAGCTAAACTGTGCAAGTATTTAAAAATGTATAACAATCGGCATATAAAATTGTTATGTACCACAGATCAGAATACCACACAAATTTACATGTTCCATATCTTTTGTCAAATGCATATAACATATAGCCTGTTAATGATTTTTTAGTATAGTTTTGTATTCTTTTTTTCTTCCTGTGGGATCTTGGGGTTAGATTTGGCAGATTCTATTATTTTTTAAATCGGACATTCTGTGGATAAAATTCTATTGTACCACAGAATACCGGTGCGGCAATAAGTAAGGAACGGTTTATCAAATTGTACGAGGATTTGGTGTGTCATGTTGTGTGATAACACTGTACAGATATTGTTAACTTAATTTAGTGGAAGGTAAATACTAAAATCACTACAGAATACCGGTGGTATGTACCACAGTATATTAGGTTTACCAATAATTTTGAAAAATTGAGTTTTTTATAGTAAATTTGATCACTCAGTGAGATTCCTGAATAGTAAAAATGTTTTATGACTTGTATCGCTTAGAAAAATTGTTGATGAATGTAAATCATGTTGGTTTGCGAACTTATTTTCAAACTTTCTGATTTTACAGGCATTAAGCAGAAAAAAAGTACCAAAAATAAGGAATTTTATTTGTTGTTTATCCCGATTATTTTTAAGAATTTTATGAAAATATCCATTTTTCATTTTTATATGACCATTGAGACTAAAACTAATATATATTCACAAAAATAAAGTGTATAGCATGTTTCCTTCAAATTTTATAAGAGCTAGTGAAATAAAAAACTGGTATTCTGTGGTACTGTGATATTCTGTGGTACTGTGATATTCTGTGGTATATACTACATCTGTAGCACATGCAGAAGATCATGATAATTATTGGTGCTCACAGGTAGAAGGTTAATTGGCAGACCTGTAGTAATTATAAGAGTATGTATTATGGCATTATGCTATTAAATTATTGTGAGTTATAAGACAATGAAATTAAGTCAACACACCAAAGCATTTGTTTGTTTTTTAGACAGAGTCCCACATATAAGACATTTTTAGTTTTTTCCTGAAGCCTGCAAAGCTTTCATGCAGTCTTGTACTCTTGTACAAAACAGCATATACCAATACATTGTTGAGTTAGCTCTTTATATACATTGTGTTTATGCTAGTGAGATTGGCTGATAGGGAGTGTGATAATGATATAGCTGCACGATCGAGATTTGAGAAAGAAAAGTAAAAAAGTGTGCATGGATCCTACTCTTCCCGTTTATGGCATTTAAAATCTACTGGACCTTCCGGCTGTACAGTACAAAAAAAAATTAAATTTCGACCCCTGCGGGGGATCCATATCTACTAGTAAATTTGGACCGGGTGACACCGGCACCTTGAAACTGTACAAACTAAAATATCACACCTAAATTATGGCTTTAGTTCAAACAGCGTGCTTTTCATGTGATAAACCTTATCATACATGACCTATAAAACTCACTGTTTGAAGTCATTTGGTTCGGTACATAAAACGTTTGGTGACGTTTAAACTAGGCCTTAAAAATAACAGAAAGATTAATTAGCATGACATTCTCTATAATGTAGCTGTAACAACAAATATTTTTATAACGTACGTATAGCAGGGGCCGGTTGTATAAAACTCTTAATCCCTTTTTAATCACTATTTTGTAGTTAAATAGTGATTAACTCTCAAATAGGCGCTTCTTATTGGATGACATTTCCATTTAACTATGATTAACTTTAATCACTTTTTTATACAACCGGCCCCAGTAGTTTAGGCGTATTAGAATGCTCAAGGGAATACAATTTATAGTCGCTTTGTGAGTCAAATTCTGTTGTTGATGATCACGTCTTCATTGACGTTACCGTTGTATTTGCCAAAGTCATTGTGCGTATAATTTCTATTTTGCTAACTTTCAGTAGTTCTTGTTACGGTGGCAAACGTTTACACTTGGATTATTTTTCGTGCATGTTACAGCAACAAATCCCTTCGCGCGGATTATTTTCGCTCAGTTTTAATTTTCAAACTGGAAGGCGCATTCCTCTTCAATTGACTACAATTGTATCAAACAACTGCATAATTATATTAGGGATCGAAACCCGGTCGCAGAGGTTCGAGGTACATGACAACCACTATGCTACCAACATCCCTGCATTGCTTCCAAAACATTCCAAAATAACAGATTCAGCATAAACAGTAGAATCTCTGCGGTTACTGCTGAAACCCAGTATCACAAAATGTTTTTTAAGTAATGTTGAATTATATAAGATATTAGAGGACACAAGTAAATGTTGTTGTTGTCGTTGTCGTTTCGTTGTCGTCGTCGTTGTTATCCGTGATCTCTCTAAGTCTAATCATGTTATCATGTCTTCATCTTTCTCTTACCGTGTTTTAGATCTATGATCCGAACAACAAGCGATACGAAGTTCCTGTCGAAACACCAGAGGTGACAAAGAAAAGTTCCAAACAAGATTATCTCGTTAGCTTCACTCACTATCCATTTGGTTTTGCAATCACAAGAAAGTCAACTGGCCGCGTTCTCTTCAATTCCACAGCGGGAGCAATGATTTTTGAGGATCAATTTTTACAACTATCTACTTTCCTACCCTCAACTAATATATTCGGACTAGGTGAACATGTTGACAGTTTTCGACTAAATACCACTTGGCAAAAACTGGTGATGTTTGCTCGTGA